TCTGTGTGTGGCCACATAGGATATTTTGCAAAAACTTCTTCTCCCTTCCCTCATTCTCTCCCATCCCTGCTGTTGCAGTCGTGGACAATGCATTGCAAGATGCTTCTTCCAATAGGAGGAGAATGCAGGCCAGCCAGGGCAACAGTGTGTTTAGCAGAGTATGTGGCAGTGGAAGGAAAGAGGCTGAACAGAGATTTATCTGCTGCTTTTTTTGAAAATGCATGTGGTCAGGAGTATGGCTGTGGAGTTAAGGGCAAAACTTCAGTCTCAGCCTTGAAGGATTTTCTATTTTAAACCAAGCTGTACAATTATTTACCTGTTGCTATGTGCTGCAGCAGCACTGTAGGATAGAAGAAACAGTGATGCTGCACATGCAGGCAGTATAGTGAGGGGTTCATAGTTATTCAGATGACAGGGAAAACAGCTGCAGCTTTCTTGTTCTCTGGAATTACCCACGGAGGCTGAGTATCTTGCACTGAAGAGCCGTGCTTCTGCCACAGGTTCTTTGCATGTTTTGAGGTGGGGGTAGCAGCTGGGAAGTGGGGGTAGAAGCTGTGCGTTTTAGTTGTGTCATCTCTAGCAGCCCTGGTAGGGCTTTGCTAGTACATCAGTTCTTCCTTCTACAAAGTGGAAAAGCAGAAACAAAGGAAGTCATTTCATATGTGTATATCCAACTGAAGAGGAGCAGTGAGTTAAAACCAACGGCAATAAGTGTATTTGCACATTTGGTGTGCTTCTATTCTCTATCTCCTCTAGTACATTGTAACAAAACACAAACAAAAAGTTCAGATCTTGTAAGAGAAGGAGGGGCTCTGATGTTTTATTTCATATTTTTTTAACTGGACTCTGTGTGTGTTTTCTCAGGGAAGATTCAATTTTAAGAGACACCTGCATCCACTTTAACCCTCCCTGTTTTGTGATCCCTGCTTTTCCCACCAGCCAATTAGTGGACTCAGGAGGACATTCTGGGTCAAGCTATACCAAATACTACAAATCCTCATTAACGCTAATTAGCGCTCAGTAGAGCTAATTTGTGGTGAAGCTCATCTTTTTTTAATTACTTCAGCAAATGAGACAGCAGAACCTTGTGGTCAGCTTTGAATTATTCTGTTTGTTTTGATGCACCTCATTTGAATGTGTAAAGCCAGATGTTTGTTGCCAAGATTTAAGGGCTGTTTGCTTTTGTGAGGGATGAGAAGAAGAGAACACAAAGATTAAATGAAGGTCTCTGTTGACACCTTAGGGCTATTCAGTTAGTAAGATGGAAGAGTCATTTTATTCATGGAATTGAAAACATTGTTATGAAATAATGTGTTACCTTTAGTTTACCTTTTGATTTGTCATTCACTTAATGGATTTGTGTGATGTTTTTAGCACAGACTTCCAGGCAGGCAGAAGTTGTCTTAACCCTCTTATGAAGGCATTGCAAAAGTATTCCTGGCCCCAGGTATTCTGCATTATTGATAGCAACTGAATCTGGATTTAGCTGACTTGCATACTGACTTTTTTTTAATCATTTTTTTCATAGTAACCCTCAGAGTTGGGACATTTTAATAATTATTATTCTAATCTACTGTTTGTTTAGTTCAAAGCATTTTGTCTGTGTCCTTTGTCCTTCATATAATTACAAATAGGTGGTGCCTCTCCCTTACCCCCTCAGAGGTCACCAACCAAAGCATATCTCACTATTGCCTTCCATAAGAATGTCCAGGTTTGTGATTTCTTCCATTCTGACACAATTTTTGAGGTCCTGAATATGAACACAACTATCCTGTATTCAGAGTATGATCTTATGATCTCTTATCCTTTTGCCTCAAGGCATCTTAAGATGCTATCCTTAGACCCCATGGGGGTGCTTAGGCACTGACTCTGAGTCACTGGAAAGCAGAATTAAATTGAAAATCATGGCTAATGCTTGAGGTTGTTAACAAGCAGTATTTCTGTGAACAAGGCTTAACCTGTTGCCTGTGAGTCCAGTGTTGTTATTAGTTTTGCATCAAAGTGTGAGGGAGACTGAGAGGTCTTCACTTTGTTACCTGCTGGCAGCAGACAAAAACCTTTTCTGAAAGTGGGGACTCAGTATGAGTGCAAACACTTTAAGAAAGCCACTTCACTTTCCTTTCAGGGTTTGTATTGGGAGATCTAGTATCTGTTAATAAATCAAATACTCATCCATTTCAGAGAGCTGTGTTGCATTAACCTCTGTGTATTAAGAGCTTATTTTATAGTATTTGACTGGTCTTGACTTGCAGTCTGTTTAGTCATCCCTTCTACTTAAGCCACAAATGCTCTAATTCTTCATGAGTTTTTCTTTCTCTGCATAGATATAATGCAATATAATTTCCCAAATGGGAAAATCAAATGTGACTTCAGTTTTGAAATTGTTGATTATAATTAGCAATATCAAAGATAGTGTAGCTTTGGCTTTCTTAAAGCTGCAATGTGTGGTTCCTGTTCAGAAGTCCCTTGACAACACACTTTCCTCCACACATTTCATGGAGAAGCCTGAGGAGCTAAGCATTATTGGCCTGCACTTCATCTGTTGCTGTGTGGTAGACAGACAGATGAAGAATTTGTTCCTCACGCTTTTTGCTGCTATGATTAATTCCATTCTCAGTGTAAGAATTTTGTGGCAAATATTGCTTATTTGCCCCTTAAAATAAATATTTTTGATCGATTTAAATTTCCTTCTTTAAATTGCCCTCCAGTTCTGCCACTGAGACGGGAAAGACTCTTCTTGCATATTCTTCACCTGCAGAAGGTGAACAAGTGTTCCACTTCCATCATTCACAGGACAGCAGTTGGTTCAGACAGTGTTTCACTACACCAACAGGTTACCCAGCAGTCCTCTACAATCAGCAGGAGGTTGTACAAAGCAGCATTGCTAATTTGCACGTGCACTAGTAGTGATTGGCTCTGCAGGCTGCCAACTTTGTGAGCAAGCTGTTAAAGGTTAGAGAAGTCTCGTGTCTTGCTTCATGCCTTCCATTGCATCGCCCTTACCTGGTGTAGTTAGAACATGCTTTCTTTGTAGTACATGCTTTCTATTATGCTGCCTGCTTGGAGCAGTTAGAAATTTCTTTCTGTATGTACTTGATTTTTTTTTACAGACAACAACCAGTCTTTGGTTTTTTAAGCAATTGGGTCTTCCAAGATTTTAGAAGCTTTCATACAGTAACCCTGGTTTTAATGGAAACCTGTGGCCCTCTCTTTTTTTGAACACATGCAGATCTCATGATCTTCTTAGAGATTGTTTGACAAACTTGGTTGGAATCTTTACTTTTGCTTCCAAATCTTTTATCAGCTTCTGTTTTATATTGAGGGAGTACTACTGACTGCAGGCAGAGAAAGCAACCTGGCGTATCTGTTGCAGGTGTGATTCTGTGGTGCCAAGGGAAGGCGTGGGGAAGAGACCAAGTGTCTGAAAACACTTGACAGTTTGTAAACATTTTAAAGGAGGAGTCTGTAGGCTCTACAAGCTTCCAGTTCAGGTGTGTGAGCTTAGAGACCCCAGGAAAAAGAGAAGGATTCCTCCCTTTCTTTTGTGGACATCTCATTATGCACTGAACAGCGGACTGAGCCTGGCTGTTACCTTAATGGACTATTAAGTGGAATATAAGCCTGCATGGCTGGATTACATATTATAGGCATCTCAGAGATTCTTCAATTACTTTCTTGTTTGAAGTTAGCAAACTGCTTCAGTGAAAGGGAGTTGTTTGTTTAAATCTGTTGTAAGCTTGTTGCCGGCAGCAGCTGTGCTTGCTGGGATTTCCATTTCATGTACCAAATGCATGTGAATTTGTAATGCATTGGCATTCAGGTGTGTATCCATGTTTTCAGCATAACTAGTGGAATTACTGCTTGTGAATAAAGATGTGAAAGAAAAAGCAGACTGTGAAAATGGAGACACAGTGTAAATGTGGTGCAAATGGGATAAAGACGCTGCAAGGAGCTGCTCCAGCAAGTAGATTCCTTCTATGCACTAGCTCCATCTGGGTGTTAGGAACAAGGGTGAAATGTTAAAAACAGCCCAGTTGTGGAGAACTTTGAACTAAAATAGACTGTAATATCTTTCTGAAAGTAATCTGATATTGAAGTTATTTGAGGCTCCAGTGCAGTGAGATTTGATAACGTTATTTTAAAACCTCATCAAACTTAATAGGACTTGTATACATAATTAAATGCTTTGAAAGGTCAGGATCTTAGTCATCATTTGTTAATTCTGGGCATAAAATTCTTGATTAAATGAATGTTGTGTTTTTAATAAAAATCAGAGTGGAGAACATCTCTAATGATTTGTGTATGTGTGTTAAACCTAGTGTAAGCATACTGTATTTTTCACCTCAACTTTGTATTTTTACTTTTTGTAAATTCAACAAAAATTTTTTCAGGCCTTTGACAGGAACTGTGAAAAACAAAGTTTTGTGTTCTTTTTTTTTAAAAAGGATAGAAAGTTTTCTTTCTCATGAGGAAAATGAGAATGTTCTTTAGGAGACAGAATTAACTATGGTTCCCACCTTTTGTTGCTTCAGGTCATTTTGCAGGTGTGATAGAAGCCTTCTACCTTGTGCTAAGCTTCAATGCTTTGCTCCTTTTCTCTGAGGCCATTTGTGGGTGCTGTGATTAATGTATATAATACTAAAGAGAAATCTTCTTTTTAATGTTCTATATTACTTGATCAGACTTCTGACATGGTTTGTAATAATTTAGAGGCATCAAACATTCAGGAATTACAATAACGGTAATATTAGAGATGGACTGACTAAAAGTAGACTTATACAGAGTGTCCTTAGAAAGGATGATTTTCCATCATTAGACAGTTCTCTTGATAATATGCAGTTTTAAACAAAAAAAAGGGAAATTCTTTTTCGTACTAAAACCATCTCAAATATTGACAAAGTCAAAGCTGCCAAGTACTTTAAATACAGCTGACTTTTACCTTGAAATTATCTAGTTACTCACTGGTATTTTTTCTTTTTTTTTTTCCCTCTCTCCCTTAGCGTGAACGAACGTGATCATTTGTTAAAAAGGCTTGGCAGGAAAACTCCTCCGAGCCTTTTCCGTGCTCATTCTGTCCAGCAAAGTATATCACGTAAGTAGCGGATCATGTATGCGTGTGTGTTTCACAGCAGTCAGTCCCAGATGAGCGAAGCAAAGGGTGATTATTTTTTAATTAAATTGTAGGTAGAGATAATCTAGCACAGAGGCTGAGCTGCCAAGCAAGACACATACATTTGGAAGTGGAATTAGTGTATTTGGCCGTAGGCAAGTGGAGCTCAAATGCAGTTAATTCCCCAGGAACCAATCAACAGGCCCAAATGACAAAACCCCAGTAAGCAGGTTCTCTAAAGGTAGAATGCTGATAGTCTTAAGGATACTGTAAAAAATCAAAAACTCTGCATAAAATAAATGCTGTGATAGAGCCTAGCTTAGATAGAAGTGGTTTCTGTATGAGAAATCATATTACCTGTGGTTAGCTGAGAATACAGCCATGTTTCAGTAATGCCACTTGGGATTCTGTGTGTTGCTGATGAGGAAAGCCGTGGCCTGCAGAGCTGCCTCTCTCCTCTCCCACTTTGGCCACTGCTGGGAGAAGAGTAGTAAAATCACATCTCACTACTGCTACTGTTTCAAATAAATTGCATTTATTCATCTTCCTAGAGGAATAGGCCTTGTATCTGCTGGACCTGATGGGTTTTTGTCAGTGTTAGAAGGGCTTCCACAGTATTAAAAATCATTGTTAACAGCTCTGTAGGCCAGATACACTGAAGGACCATGCTGTCTTGGGGAACTAGGAAGTCCAGTCAGCCCCTTGTATTGGTAAAATGCAGTCTCTCTTGTGGTTAAACTAGTGGTCAAAATATGCTCATCTTACTAAAGAAAACAGCCCCCCAGTGTGGAGTACTGCAGCGCACAGGGCAAGGGGCAGGCACTCAGGATTTGAGGTTCGTATTGCCATTGCAGTGAGAAGTGACACCTCTGACTAAAGAATCACTGAAATCAAATCTCATTGCTAGCTGTGTCGTCTTCTGTAGCAGAACTGTTATGGTTCAGGTCATGGAGGCAGGGCTGGGATTTGAAAACCCAAATACCTGAGATATTCCTGTTTTCCACAGGGAATTTGACTAGAAGGGGTGGAACAGTGATGGATCTGATAGTCTTTGTCCTTCATAGATCTGTTGCACGGCCATCACTTTAAAGGGATATAGAGTCCTCAGCAATCAATCCCATTGCTCCTGGGAAGAGAGGCTGGGGTGCAGAGCAGTCCTGTGGACCACATGTTTCTGCCAGTATTTAATCCTTTGTGTCAAGCAGCCGGGAATGCTGGTAGCAACACAGCTTTGGACATGCAAACATGATCTTTGAGAAGATTGCAAAAGCTATGGTTGGCAGAAGAAATCTGTAAAACGCTTAAATAAATTGTGTCAAAGTAGTCTGCTGTAAAGCCTTAACAAGGTACAGAGAGAGATACACTAGTCAGACTTAATATGTGCTTTTAGTCTCATAGAACACATCATCAGGTTATTAGTAGGTAAATAGCTGTTGGGAAAGAAAAATGAGATCAAAATAAATCCTAGTTTGGATAACCAACTTCCCTCTAAATGCAAATGATTAAGTGCTAAATGAGTCAGACCAGTCAGGACAGGTTACAATCAGCAGTCTGTTTTTCACATGAACATAAATTTTGATTTTGAAACTGTTGGGACTGAAAGATGCTTTTTGTGGTGTATCCATGACTTCTGTCATCTCTTGTCAAATATTATTTTCCAGTGTTGCATAGCTGCTATATGTACAAGGCCGTGTGAAATCCAGTGAACACGTGCTGTTTTCACAACCTTAAACTGTTTACTAAATGCTAGAAATCTTCAAAGCAAAGAGTTGATGAATGGGGCAGTAGCCTTGACATGCCAGGCCAGTATCTTAAATCATGCTACAAGCGCTGTGTTTGAAGTCTTGAATTGTTCATGTTTCTACCAGGCCATAAGTTACCAGCCTGTGAAGACCAAAAATTGCTTGTGTGACTTCCACTCTGAATCTGTCACTTGCATATAAAGCAGGAAAATGGTTAGTTTAGTTAGCGCTGATGAGGGCTTAAGCAAATGAATTACCTTAGTCCCAACAAGGAATGAAAATGGGATTAAATTTCCCCTAGCACAGATTGCGAAGATGCAGTACTAGTTTGAGAATCACTTTATTTTTGACAACAACCACTACCAAATGTTTTGAGATGAAGCAATACCGAAATAGCTTTGTTTCCAATCACATGGAAAGGAGAAAAATCTCATGGAGAGTTTCCAGGCTACTACTAGTGGTCTGTGGTGGGAGGAAAGAGCTGACTGAGTTAAGTCTGCACAGCCCTGTGAGAAAGGCAGAAGCTCATTTTGCGTGTGTTTCATTAGCTCTCTGTTGGTAAGTCAGCCCCTCTACAGAAGCACTAGCACAGCACAAGACTTTCAGGCATGATTTGATGATTTGTGGCTGGGATGCTCCCATATGGCACCAGGCTCTTGTGGATCCAGCCCCCAAAGTGGGTAGCAGAACCACACAGACAGTGCCATGTCAGTACTGTTCAGGAGTGCCAGCCAGGATTAGTCTCTTAAATGCTTCCCTCCCTAAAGAGACAGTCTCAGAGTGGCTGCCTTGGAGAGTAGGCCCAGTTTAGTAACCCCTGGAAGGGTATGCGCTTAAAGTAAAACCTTCATGGCTGTTTTGCTTGCTCTGACTTTGTTTTGTGTGTTCCTGAATTGTGTAGAGCTGTCAGAAGCATGAAAGAAATCTGTCTACTAGCTTGTACTATCAAAAATTATGCGGTTTCTTCGTACCAGTGTAATGTCTGGGAAGTTTACTTTAAAAAAAAAAAAAGGAAAAAAAAGGTGAAGCTCCCATTTGGATGGCATTGTCATGAGACTTTAGTGGAAGAGTTTTATGCGGTTGTCAAGCCCATGTGCTAACATAAAACCATCTTAGTGGAATCACGTAGGCAGCAGTGACGATGCTGGTACCCAGGCTTGGTCTGTCTCCTGGCAAAGGTGTCTGGTGAAATCGGGAATCCCCTGATGCCATCTGCTTTCTGAAACCTCTTAAGACTGAGCAGGAAATGTCACCAGGCTCCTCCCAGATGTGTCTTTGGACCCTTCCCTTTAGCTTGCTGTAGGGTTCACACTTGGGGGAACCAGCAATAATGACTTGCAAAAGCTCTCCCTCAGAGGGTTTGCTGGCAACAAAGTTTTCTCTAGGTCTCCATCCAAATCTGTGTCTTTTTTTTGCTGTGACTTTTTGAAAGTAGCACCTCCTTTAGAGAAGCTCTATAGATTTAGAAGATGCCTCTGACCTCCCCTTTCCTTCTGTGTGACTGACCTGTATCACCTGTGCTTCCAGAGCCTCACCAGCAGGATGGGAGGAGCGATGTTCCTCTCTTGCTCAGGTACCCTCAGACCTGTCCATCTATAAGGAAAGTCCCCCAACATCTCTCTAGTGCAGTTTCCCTCCTGTAACATCCCTGGCAGTGTTAGTTATCATTTGTCTCAGCATGCTCTTTAAAAATAGATCCGAATCCCACTCCCATTAAAGCACAACTTCGGCAGAACTCCCCCTGAAATGCCAATAGCCGTGCCTGAATGAGGATTACTGCACTTGGCCCAGATTTCCTGTACTAGCAAAGAAAATCCCTCTTCCTTTGACAGAATATGGTGATTGCATAGAGAAAATCTGAACACAGAGCATATGGTTTGCACCTTATTAATCAACGGAGAAAAAGCACCTGTCATCTGAGGTTCATTTCACAATATGGGAGCTGACAAATAATAAATAATAATAATATGTTCATGCTGAGGGCTCTAATCCCACTATTTATTCACCACTAGCAGACACCTTCTTCCTCTCACTTTTCTGCTGATGCATTTTGATTTGAAAAACAAAGGTGTAGCTACTTGAGATGTTTTTAGACTCCTTTTCCTCTTATCTTGCATGTGTTTGAAATATAATATGAATTCTTAATTTTTTCCAAGCTACATGTTTGTTGATGTTAAGTGGAGTTTCAATCTTCTAAAATTAACTTAAGAAAAAGAAGTAGGAATAATCAGTTTAGATTTGATGCTGTGGCATCTGACTCTATTTTCTACATGCAAATATCAGTAGGTTAGTATCTGGGATGAAAGAGATGGGGTCATTTGTCAGGAATTACTCTTCAGTCCTTTAGAAAACACAGGCACAGTTTATCAGGAGAGGAATTAACGATTTCTGAAAGCATTAGTCAAACTGTTCAAGATTTTAAGCAGCTCTCCCTTTCCCAGGTTAAGTGGAAGTGGGTTGCTGGAGAAGTCAAAGCTGAGTTAGCATTCACTGTTTAACTGGTAAATGTGAACTGTGACATCATAGCAAATATCCTTAAAAACTGTGCAGAACCAGACATTTGCCTGAGAGAGATTTGGCTGGTCAATTGATACCCTAACATTGATTTTTCTTATGTCAGAGAGATTTTTGCTACCTAAGAAGCAACATTTACTAAAAGAGGATTTGGTTGTTTGTGTTTTTTTTTTAAGTCCCTCCCATCCTCACCAACCGCTTAAAAATTATAGTGGATTTGAATTTGGGCATTTTTCTCCAAAGGCAAACAAAAGGGAACATTATTATACTTTGGACTATACTAAACCATAATACCACAGCATGTATGAAATAGTGAACTGCTGCAGCAGGCAAAGGTTCTAATGGACTGCCAGTGAAAATTGCCCTTTTACTGGCTGGCCTAAAGAAATCCTGAGACAAACACTTTGAGTGTATCAGAGGAGAGTGCAAGGAGTAGAAGGCCTCGAAAATAAATCCCCGAAGTGACTAGACCTGTAGGCGGTCCTTCTGTGGAGAGATTTTTCTGGAATAAAAAGACCACCCTGGACCCTTTCTTGGTCCTAGTCTTGGAAGTTGTTGCACATGGGTACGCTCATGTATATGAGTATGTTGAGCTTCCACAAGTTGCTGTTTGTGTTCAAGGCACATGCAATGGAGATGGTTGCTGTAGTCCAGCATCAGACAGACCAGAATAGCCATTGCAGTAAACAGAAAAAGAGTGTGTTAAATTAGAAACCTAATGGGAGACTACATTCTGATCTACTAGTAGAATATCAAAGCTTTAAGAAAACCCAACAGGATGCTTTCAAAATTGAATAGGTTGTCTGATAATATCTGATGCTAATGAAACCTTAGATTTGATGAGAATGTGAATCTCCTCTTAACAAGTGAGCCCCATTGATAGATATTCAAAAGTGTGCCTTTTCTCCATTAATAGAAAGTCTCTGAGTACAAAGACCCTTCCTCCTGTGACAGCCATGAGTGGGTTGTGCCCAGAAAGCCCCAAAGAAATATGCTCCTTCCTTGGGCTGCTGCAGGACAGCTGAACAATGAGGGCATTGTTCCCAGGGCAGGCTTATAGGTGTGGTTTTAAAACTAGAGTTGGGGGAAAAGTTCAAACTTCCGGAAAGTTCCCTAGTAACTGGCAGATGGAAACTTTCATTGTTTTTGGATGGGGTCTAAAAATAGTGGAAATGTAGAGCTGCTTGGGGAGTGTGGATGTGGAATCAAAATGTGTGCATTTTGATTCCACAAGGCACAGTAAGCTGCCTACACAGCTTGAAATTCAATTTTAATTGTAATGTGAATAGAAAAAATGTAATAAGAACTCATCTTCCTGTATAGAGATCTACAGAAAAGTTTTAAATGAACTGCCAAATGTTGAGCTTCAACTAAGTAGGTGATGTGCAAGGGTCACAGACTTTCCCATGACGTACACACAAAACTCTCGTTGCTGGTATTTCAGGATGGGTGAGGAACATGAAGATGTAAGGATACCCCTGGTACTCTTAACCACCGATTGTAACCTGAAATTTTTTTGTCACTTCAAGGTGTTTTCTACTGATGTGAGAGTGGTGAACCTGTTTCTTTGACTGCCTTTTGCATTGGCATTGTGTAGTGATTGGGGTGCCTGGCTGTTTACAGGCCTATGCTAGCACAGGAAATAGGCAGGAAGATACCTGGGCCTGATGGTCTTCACACACTTGTGTGGTCAGTGCTGTATTTGCAGTAGTCACGGCAATGGAAGACTTCACTGTGCTGGATGATCTTACTGGATAAGTAAATACAGGAAAGCCATCTCAATGCAAATATCAGGTTATGGGTCATGAGCTTCAGTCTTTAGGGCTTAAGCTTACAGTCTTTGACTAAGTTGACTTACCACTGAGAATTTAGCCAAAAAAGCTAACAGGATGCTGGCCCTTAACATGGAAGAAACCCACTGGAGGTATTTGTTTAAGTGTCAATCTACCCCTTTTTAAATGAAAGCCTCTTTTATAAGTAGTATTTCCTTTGCAATGATCCAGCATGGACGTACTTTTTTCCAAAAGACTGTTTACACTTCGTGAACCTTCAACTAGAGGCAGGAAAAACCAACCTGTGCCTCTGTAGGGGTATGTATATTGGCATGGAATTGGTCAGGGAAAATAAAATGGGACACTGGGATGATCAATCATGTAATCAAATCAAGGTTCATGCTGTCCTACAATCACTCCAAGAGGAAGATGTGACTGTGATCTATTTCTATTTGAATCCCCTCCACTTAGCGGCAAAGATTTCCTGCTGTACTTGTGATTCAGGTCAGCTAACCTCTCCTGCTAAGGGAGCGTGCCCTCTGCCTTAAGAGCTTGAATCTACAGTGGAATCCCAGTGGCTTCAGAGGGGACATTTACCTGCATTCTGTGAGAGAAAAAACCCTACACATTATCTAGTGGTCAATCGTAGTGTTGCAGGATTCTCTTCTCAGCAGCTTACTGCTGTACAGGAGTTGCTGACCACCCTCCCTGTACGGGCATCAGCCAGAGAAAAGATCTAGGACTGCTTGAGCATCTCTGCTTGAGTCACATGGTCCCAACTTGGTTGTTAAGGTGAAGATTTAACAAGCCTCACAGGATACAGTTAATTTCTGGTCTTCTGGACTGCTTCTGGCTACCAGCATTGGTCACCTGCTTCAAAGAAGGCTGCATTCAGGCCCATGGGGAGCAAGTCTAGTCTATAGCAGCAAGCTTCTTGGGAGCCTCATATCCCTCCTGTCTTAAGAGGGTGTTCAGCCCTGTGTGCCTTTCTGTCACACAGACCCTCTTTGTTGTGCTCCAGCCTTACCTCAGTACCTGGTGTAGGGGGGAGAATTAAGGGAGGACTTCTGAAAGGCATTTGATAGGTCTCTGGTTAGTAACTGGGATGTGTCCTTATCTGATTATGTGGTTTTTAGCCTGGGATAAATCTCAGGCAGGATTTGAGAATTCTCAAGCTCCTGCTTCCAGAGTTCCTCAAGGGAAATGAACTGTTGCCCATGGAGAGTTAGCCATGGTTTAATTCTTGGATTCTCCCAAGTCTTGCCTGCTTTTCTACTACCAAGCATTATCTGGTTAGGTGTAGCCTGTGACTTTCCTATTTCTTTGTTTTTGTAACTATGCTAATCTGCCCTTCTTATGTTTTATGATTACCCATTTACACCTGAAAACCACGTTTCCTTGGCATCACAAAGTCTGTTGTACTTTGCTATAGTTTTTCATTCAGAATTTTCTGTAGGGTCATGTCTGCAAGTCTGTCTGGTGTTTCACCATGTAGGCCCATTAGCTTTTGTGACTGTTGTACCAGCATTGTGGTGTTCTGCAGATGATGTCAGAAATGTCACTTGCCTTGTCCACAGTACTTTAAAAGAAATCATGCGCGTGGTTATTTTCATCTCAGTAATTTCTAGGGAGACCAAAGGATTGTGCAAGCTAGCAGGATTAACAAAATAAAGACCTCCAGAATATGTTTTTTGCTCTATGCAAAATATGGATTAATGAAGTTAAGAGGAGGATGTGACAAAGATCCAGTTGCAGGCTAGACATTTCCATATTTCTCCAGAGGAACTGCTGATATCAAGCAAACTGTAGAAGAGTCGAGCTGAAATGCAGATCTCTGTTTCTCTCTAAAGTCTTTAAAGAAGCTCTGCCACTGTAGGAGTACACGTGTGTTCAAATCAATCTGTAGCTTTCAAGGCTAACACAGAGGGAGTCACTGACTGTATAAATTAACTGGTCTGGGGAGGGGAGCAGCAGGATGAAGCTGGCAGCAGTCATCCTTTCTATGCCATGTGGGCAATGCAGTGCACAGCTGTAAGCATCAGAAGTGCAGCACAGAAATGAAGATGGTTGCAGTCTCAATCATGTAACTTTAGTAATGCCTAAAACTGTTTCTAAAAATGGGCTGTGCCCTTGAGCTCTACTCTAGTGATTTAATTTTTTCTCTTCCTTTGCTTTTTCAGATGGGTATGCATTTTCTCAAGAAGAACACGGTGTTGTTTCCCAGTCGCAAGTTGTTCGATCCTACGATACAACCAAAAGGAGAACAGAAATAGAATAAATGGTTTTTACTTGATGGGTGGTGGGAATAATGGGATTTGGATCAATGCATCCACTGTTAACACATTCTTGACTAGAATTGGTGGGAGAAGCCAGAACACCAGAGAACTCATTTCTGTGGCCTTAGCCAACAAGTTTCTGTATTCTCCCTGCAAACCTTGAGTACATAATGTGGGGGGAAATCATTGTTTGACTTCAGTTGCAAAGCTCTGCCTAAAGTTTTGTTTATGTTGTTATGAAGCATTTGACTGTGCTATGTGAGGTGTGAAATTAAAAACAATGTTTTACCACTATTTAAAACATCAGCATAAGGTTGTTCTGGGAGAAAAGCAGAAAATTTATGTTCCATGAGAAACAAGCCTTTGCTTAATTGGAACGGGGTGCTGAGATTTCCTGTTTTGTTACACACAGACCAAGTGCACACGACTGCATGCAGACTTTACTCCTTCTGGTATTCACTGTTTACTAATTTGGCTGAAATTTTCAACAGACCATTTGGTGTAAAATTTTTGATTGCAACACAGTTTGTAGCTAAAAATGCTTATTTGCCTTCTTATGACAGAATAACACAAGATAGCAAACAATTACTTAGAATATTTCGTACCCTCTTACAGGATTTATTAGGGATCTGTCTTAGCTTTCTGAAACCCAATTAATAGCTTACTTACAAAGCCAAGATGTGGAAGTCAGAGAGCTTGGCAGGGCAGCTGTCTTGAGTGCATGGCATTGTACACAAAGATTAACTCAAATAGGTGCCTCCTAACGCTTCATGATGTATTTGGATGTGCACTTCCAATGTAGCTAGGGATTTCCCTCCATAATCCCCTTCCCACTTTAATAGTAGAACAAAACAGCGAGAACTTTAAAGGTATAATCTTGTCAGATATGAAGATATGCATCCACACAGGAGGCTGATGCTGTAACCCTAAAGAAGCATTTCCCTGACCAGGTAGGATAGGTTTGTGAAGAAAAGTTAGGAAGGGTTTACACACATGTGTGCACACACATGTACACAAACAGAGCTGGTCATTGTGAAGAGAAGACCTGCTGTTTGTTTGTTCAGCCAAACCAGTCCCTCTTCTAGATCTGATCCATCAACAGGCTTCCCAGGCTTCAGACCTATGAGCCCTGGAAGAAATGCTGGCTCCACAGCCTTGCTGTGCCAGTGGGACAGGCGTGCTGCTGCATAGATTGGAATTTGGGGGGAAAAAAAAAAAAAAGGCAAAAACTGACACATAAGTTAAAGCTGAAAGAGCTCTTAGAAAGCTTATGCTGTCCTCCAGACAAGTTCTATTAATTTTAGTCGCCAAGCCATGTTTCTGAATAGTATAAAGTAAATACTGCAGTGTTTAAGCCAGGTTTTGTGGTTAATGTATATACTACATCTGTGTATTTAGAAAGTTGGCGTTGTTTTTTGCCCTATTGACCGTCATCCAGATTTTTTTATTAATTTAAATATATCCGAAAGCAATTTGAATATGAATATTTATGTTTAGCAAAGGAAAGGAAAGCACCAGACTGGCCAACTGGCTTAATCTTCCTTAAGGGTTGTGAGTAAATGCCAGTGCTCAAGTGTCATAATTCAATTCCCAGTGCCACCTCAAAGGCTCAGAGTCCTCTTCCATGTTAAAAAAGGCAAATTTTGCTCCTGCAGCACCAGTCAGGATTGGTCTTGGATTAAGTTGATGGCACAGAGGAAAAAGTCATCACCTTCTTTCTGCAGTGCTAATGAGACAATTATGCAGTAGGGGAAACGTGCAAATAATTTTGCCATAGGCATGAATGTCAAGGGGCCAAGTGTGGATGTGTGTATTTTCTGGGAGATAAATTTTTGTTTAAAGGCACAAATACTAGTGCAGAGAATAAATAAGGGAAGAGTAAACCTGATCCCAGGAGCTTCTAAATCTTAATACTGATATAACCTGTTAAACACTTCCTTTTATTTAGAACCCAAATCTATTTAGGAAATGTGTGGTGTAAGCCATTCCTCAGAACTGCTAATTGTTTCTTCCTTTCGTAAAAACACAAGGAAAATTAACTTCCCACCAAGACAAAATAAGATCAGCTTAGTCTTTGTACTCTAAGCCACACACCAAACATTGGTATGTAAACAATTTGGAGGCTTTTCATGAGGATGCAGAAAGAAACTTTTAAAAACCTCTGGATAATGAAGAAGGGCAAGTAAACGTGTTAAGCAGAGAATAGAAGGGATCCTGGAGTCTTTTCTGTTCTTAACTTACTGCAATAAAATTTACAGAACATAATGGGAAATGCTGGGGAGGAGAAGCTGTCATCTGATGTGATTTATTTTATTAGTGCAGACTATGGGCTGTATCATTTTGACCTCCCTGTAAATTGAGGTCAGTGTGTGTCACAAACACAGACCCTCCCCGGAGTGAATGGTGGCTTAGACTGAGGTACGTGTGTTGGTTGTCAGCTCAATGGGAATTGCACATGGGATTTGTCGCAGGGCTATACAGTATGTGACACTGGGGCTAGTGGGTCAGACTTTATCATCACTGTAAGGCCTTAATCTCTAGCTGAGTTAATTCTGTAGAACCCACCCGGGTCAAGACCTGGCATTCTTCTTGTTCTTTGGAGTCATTATGGGAATTAATGTATTGTAATACGCTGTAGACTGGCTGTTGGAGTTGCTTGTCTTCATGAACAATGATGAGGTGTATTCCAGCAAAAGGAGAATGGCAGCTGCTCTGCATCAACAGAATTCCTTGTTCATTAAGGCAAATGCATGTAGCAGTAACAGCAGCCTTTGAAAGCACTGTGTGAAAGTGTTCTCAACTAGACAGGGTATCAGAGCAGAAGGAATGGGAGATTTCTGCATTACCGTCCAGGCTTAACTACCTAGGATTGATCAGAAAAGGATTTCCTGGGCAGCTCTCTGCACTGACCAAAAGGAGATGGGTTTGAATATTCAGAAGGGAGTGATGATTTACCTAAATTAAACGTGGATCTAGTTGCTGCTTTTTGTAACACTGGAATCACTGCTTGCATAGAAACTGCTGTTCCTTTAATGACTGCCTAGTAGCAAATTGAAGCCAGTGAGTGGGAGCCTGAGCTAAGCACTGCTGAGAAGTCTGTTGACATTTTCTTTTCCTTGACAGGACTTCAGGTCTTGCTGTAGGGAGCTAAGCATGGGAAGTCAGTAATAACTTCTCAAGGAGAAATGGTGAATAACCAATAAAAGTATCTAGGTCAAACTAAGCTGCTAATGTATCTAAAAATGTGTGTAGAGTTAACATGAACTATATGGGCTGTAAATTAAGATAACAGTCAAGCCTCGCTAATCTGCGCTTCACTAGACCACATGCCTCTCAGTGCATGCCAAAACTGTGCAGTCCCCTACCTCAGCCAGCAGCTAATAGCAGATGCTGCAGGGAAGTCTCCTCTTACCAAGATTACATTATTTTTACAGCATGTAATGGAGTGTGTTTGCTGGGAGACAGTCATAATAATAAAGTCATAAATAAGAAAGCTCAGGTGGACCAGAATATGTGAAATGTAGGGAATGTGACGTAGTCAGTGTCCACACTGGGTGCAACTTGGCCCTGTATGGAGAACCCAAGAGCTTGAGAGGTGCATGGACCTTACACTGTCCCTGTCCTGCTAGCTTATTTTGGGCTAACTCACTAAATCTGCTGTTTCACATTGCCTCCAGTCATCAGTGAAAATTAGTGATGTCCTATTTACATTGTCCCTTGGTTTTGTAAAAAATTACTTAATTTCATCTTTAAATGTTCTGACTGTACTTCTGCTATTACACCTCACAGCTCAAGTTTGAAGCAGAGCAGCCCTTCAGTGGGTGTTTGCCCCCAAGAAGCACTTCAGATTTGTCAGATTTCTCACAGTGTTAAGCACTGAGGATAATTTTACCTTAGTTTTGGATCCACCCAGTATCAATGCGTTAAACTTCAGTCAGTTTGCAGGAAAGCTCTTTGTGTCTTGTTGAGTCTAATAAGAAACAATGATGTTATGAAATACCTGAGGGGTTGGAGTGGAGAATTTGTGCTATACCTGTGCTATATAACTGCTATATCTGGGTAGCAGTTTGCTTCTGCTTATGAAACACAGCATTGACCCTGCATATGTTCCTCAATGGCTAGACAGTTGGACTCCTTCTGTTCTGTCAGGAAGGACCCTTTTACTCATTTCTTCCAGAGTCTGTCTGTGCTGCAGCTCTGTGCCTCCTCGAGAATGCTGAGCACCAAGTAGATCCAGACCCTTGTCCCTACCTTGTACCTGCAGGGTCCCCTGGGCACAGCCCTGAGGCTGTCCAGCAGGCAGCTCTTAGAGGCACAGCTAAAGTGCTTATCAAATGAGATTTGAATTCAAATCCAAGTGTTGTTCCTAGCCATAACTCATAACTGTCCCTCCACGCTGCTCAGGAGGTCATGAATCTGATGGCTGGTCTTGTACACAGCCCACTCTCATCCCACTGGTCAGGACCTGTGTGAGCAATCATGTCACTGGGCAAGCGAGTTGACAGACAGTGATGCTTCTCTTTGGCATGTTGCTTATCTGCAGGCATGTCACTGTTCCTCAGAAGCTCTCTGTGCAGGAGATCCCATTTTGAAGTGTGGCTCTCCAGCCAGGCTGAGAGGGGCAGCCACAGGGAGCTGGCTGTTCCACAGCACGGTAGCATAGTTGTTTTTGTATCATAGACAGTGGCCAGTGGGACTCTGCCAGCAGCAGCAGGGGTAAAATGAGCCGCTCCAGGAGCATAGCCCCTGCTTCCTTGGAAGTTACCTGTTAGTGCTGGTGAGGTGAGGCCTTCGATATGACCTGAGCTTTCAGAGAGGCAGTTTCTTCCTGGAGCTTATTCTTCCTGGTGCTGAGCTTTTTGGGTTGGTGAAACCATACACACTGATTTTTTTTCTTAAAAGCTTTTTTGTCCTCTGTGGGGTTGGGGCAAATCTTGTAGGCTTGATAACACGGTTAATACAACTCTATTCCCATTTTATTTTTCCTACTCTTAGAATATTGCTTATACTGACTTCTCAAAACTGAATAACTCCAGGAAGGAAAGAGCTCAAATCTCTCATCTTCAGTATCCTATAGACACCCAGGAGAGCCTTCACCACCTTTCAGCATCTGTGACCAGAGCTGTGTGTCTGGAAAAAGCCACAGGACAGGTCAGTACAATAGGAGACATCAAAATAAGTCCATATGGGTACAGAAAATAACTCTTTCTGTACCTTTTCCATATGTAGCAGTAAGATTAATGGAGGCTTTGAGCTTTGTTGGCAAATGAAAACCAGAAAATGCCCTGTGCTGTTTGGCCCCACAAGTGAATCCCAAAGGTGATCACTTCTCGGTGACCTGCAGAAAGCCCTGACAGCCTGACTGAGTTTATCTGGCCAGGAATGTGCTCTCGGATTGGCTGTCTGGAGAGGTGAAGGTACCGGGAAACAGAATAGTTTGGCCAAGACCACTGCTGCTGTTAGAGGTTAGAGAAGGGAGGAATTCCTCAGGCTTCCCTGAAGAGCTGTGATAAAGCTTTCTTCTTTGGTTCCTTCCTGAAGCTGAGTTTCTCTGGTACAAAGCTGAGTCCTGGGCTTGGAAAAAGGAAAGGTGTCCCTGCCAGAAGTGCCCCCTGCTTAGCATACTTTGGCTCTAGTGGGTTGTTTCATGGGTTATAACAGATTGCTAAATTGTTTCCCAGCTACTGTTTTCCTCATGGACCCACCAGAACTGAGCACTCAAATTATTTCAGTCCTGACTGAGAATCCTTCATGTAGAGTTAATGGGACTTCTTAGGTGTTGCTCCTGGGCAGGTTCCTGTCCCTGAGGCCAGTGCAAGGGACTTGTTAATCTGGGGACCTGGATCTTTTTGTGATAGAGTGTGAAGCCTAGAAGTTGTTTCATTTGGATTCATGGCCTGCTCATTTGTGGTGTGGACAGAAGGTAAAGCAGCTGAGTACTGGTGTTTATCCAAAGGCTACCTTTATATATGAAGAAGGTGAGACAAGTTCTCCTGAAGTCTGCCACAAGGGGTTCGTTCTCCTTCAGCATCTCTGTAGTTACTAAAGAGAAAGAGAAGTGGGTAAATGACAAATTCTGTGTGGTCAAGCCCAGCTCTGGGCAGTCAAACAGAGGTCTAATGATGAAGAAAAGTCTAATACATTGCCAAATTGTCCCTATGCATAGCTGGAAGGTCAGCACCTTGTAATTATGGAGTG